ATGTTTGTGTGTATGTGCCCGTTATGAGAAGAAATATAGAAAGATTGTATTTTGTTAGTACATAGGAACTGGAAGAGTGGAGGGGAAGGAGGATTTTTTAAAAAGGTTTCTTTAAAAAGCAACACTTTTGTCACTCAATTAATATAGAATGTAGGTGTGCATTAGAGGGTCAGGAAGGAGAGGGCTCTGGACATGGGGGCAGGAGAGGGGGACTGATAATATTGTGTGGTCAGGGAGAAGTGTCCTGTGGATCATGGGTGTGCAACATAGAAGAAAACCCAAGGTGAGTACATACTTCTGTTTAGTCATGTGCTACAGCAAGGTGTACTGGCAACACCTCTAATCTGCACACTGGCCAGACTGAGGCAGGAGGACTGTGAGTTAGAGCCCGTCCTGGTCTACATAGGGAGTTTAAGGCAAGCCTAGACTGCATAGAGAAACCCTGTCTCTGGGGAGGGGGAAACTATAAACCACTAAATGCTCCATCTTTCTAGGTGAGCCAGGGCCCCAGGGGAAAATTACTGTTCTGGGATCTATAGCAAAGTGCTGGCTGCCTTCCCCCCCCCCCACTGAGTTTATTGGTACTTTTTAAGTATACAGTACAGCTGCATTCATCATTGCTGGCTGCCTTTTTAACCAGCGCTGTAGCCGCTGATTAAAACATGCACCCATGAAACATGCTGGCCTCCTTTGATCTGATCTGATGTGGCCTTCTAGTCTAGACTGGAATTTGGGAGGAGGTTGTCTTATAGGTGTTCCCTTTGGTGAGAAGAATAGCATTGCACCCAGCCTCCTGCCCCTTGCAGACCAGTCTGATGCTAGGCCACACCCTGGGTGCATTCTTCTCTCCCTGCCCCAAGCCTGCTGCATTTTGTTTTAACAGCCCCAGGTGATTCAGATGCACCCTCAAAATGGGGACTATGATGGCAGTGAGCGAACCACCTTGACCTGGAAGGTGGTTATCTGGCAGCTCGGCTCAGCTCATCTTGGTTCTAGACGCTGTCTATGCCAGAAACCTATGGCATGCTTGCCACAGCGGGCTATTTGTATCATTGAAAGCTCTAGAAGGTTTGCCCTGAGCAGAACAAGGGATCATGGCACTTATCTCTGATATTGCCCTTCTTTGGGCCAAAACTCTGGACAGGTGTCCAGGACCTGGAAGCTGCTGTCTTATATATTGCATCCAGCTTTGCAATACCATGGGGCACTAAGGTGAAACCCATATAGGCCTGACTGCCCAGCACACTCTCAGCTCTGCTCAGCCAGGGAGAAAACCTACATAGGAGGCCTCATCCTTTTCAGTACTAGCCCTCAAACCCCCACTGGTAGTGGCAAGCACGCTACAGCTAGGGGTGCCTTCCTCGGGGTCTAGTTTGAATTTCACAGTGGAAGAATTCTGGGTACCCAGAGCCCATGATTTCCAGACCTGCACTAAGTGCTCAGTAAATGTACTTACTGTTGGCAATAATGGGACGTGTAAGCAGGGTGAAAGCTTCCAGGCTGTAGGAAGGCCCCTGTGCCTCACCGGAATACTCTGGCTATAACCTCCTGCTTGCACCTGCACCGTGTCGTGCAGAACCATGCTGTGTGTGGCTTCCATTGAAGTGAGCAGAACACTCGCATCCACTTTACCAGTGCATTAAGCCTCCTTGAGGGTAATTCTGAGCTTATTTCTTGTACCAAGTAGGGATCCTCTCTGGCTGGAAATGCTGTTGTCAAGATTAAATAAGACAAGGTATGCCAAGCCTAGAAGAGCAGAGCGTTCAGTAACTCAGGTATTTGTTTTCCTGTTGTTACTCCCTTTACCATAAACAGAAGTATGAGCTGTTTTGGAAATGGTTTTTGCCACCGTGAGCCGTTTGCATTGGAAAATCTCTTTGAAGACAGATGTAGGGCTGGGGATTTAGCTCAGTGGTGCTGTGCCTGCTTGGCAAGCTCAAAGTCCTGAGTTTGATCCCTGGTACAAAAAAATGAAAAGTTTTTTTGTAGTTGGTGTGAGTTCAAAACCAGGGATGATGCTTCCAAGTGACGTTTCTGGGAACCTTTTCACTTGAAACCTCCTGTTTCCTCCTATGTCTAGCTCCCTCTTGCATCCCCTTGGGTCGCCAGCAGCTAAGCTACCCACTGCAAGTGCTGCCAAACAGTGTGACCAGCCCGTGCCCACTGAGCTTCAGTAGTTTGGTCACTAGACCTGTTTTTTCACTAGAAGAATATGCTGGCTGTGTGTTTGTGTTTCCTGGTCACGCAGCGAACAGCCCTTGACATCAGGTACCCGTGTGGTAGTATTGTGTGTTTTCCTGTTCTGTAGCTTTGCACATTACTGGCTTCAGTGAGTATTTATTACCGTCAGTTTTGAGCTGCATTATATCATTTCCTTAAGTTTTGGCAGCACTTTAACATTTCAACGTATCCCATGTACATTTTAATTTACTTTGTGACAACCATGCAAGCTAGCTGTTTCTCCGCACCCCATTTCCCTTTTGAGAAAATGAGGCTCTGTGATGCACACAACTTGCTTGGCATCACAGTACCGGCTTTAGCCAGCTTCAGGCCTCCTGATATCCAGTACTCTTTCTGCTGTGCTGAATGAAGGTGGGAGCAGGTTTGTGAGTCTTCCCTAGTTAGGCTCAGTTTTTTCCTCAATACCTCTGGGTTCCAGGTACTGAGAAGTGTTCCTCCTTGATCCAGGAATGTCAGGTGAATTGCATATGCATTCTGTGTCTGAAAAGGGAAGACAAAGGCCTCCTGTATATGGTTCTCTCCTTCCCTCCCTTCCTTTCCTTCCCTTTCTCTATTCCTTCCCTCTCTTTTCTCTCTCCCTCCCTCCTTCTGCAGTACTGAGCTGTATCCCCAGCCCTTTTTATTTATTTTGAGACAGGATCTTGCTGAGTTTTCCATGCTGTGCTCAAACTTTTGATCCTCCTGCCTCAGCCTCCAGTGTGCTGGAACTTTAGGCTTTGTCTTTTATTTAGCCTTCACATTACATTTACAGAAGATAGAAAGGGCAAGCAATTGTCCAGGCCCTAACTGGCCCTGAGCCCTTCCCCAGCCCCCAGCTGAAGGGAACAACATGTATGTCCCTGTTGGGATGCTGGCATCCAACATTTAGTTCCAGCTTTAGGAGGGAAATGTTGGAAAGGGTTAGTAGAATCTTAATAGAGACTCACTCCAGAGTTGATTGCTAGTAGTGCTCAGGAACCAGGCCTCTCTTGTCAGAACCAGTGGTGCTTCTGGTTGCAATTGGTCCCATGGATGAAGCAGCCTTTCTTTTGCATTTTTGTTTTCTGCCCTTGAATAGAATGATGTGCTACTCTTCCCTTCCTTCCTTTCCTTCGTTCCAAAACAAGAACAAAAAACAAAGTAGGACCCAGTTCCTTTCTTCACACTGGATGAGTCTATGTTGTTAGAAGGGAATCAAGTACATCCCAGGATTTTCCCCAGATACCTCCGCAGGCCTGAAGGCTGCTAGATGGAGCACCATGAAAATTGTCACTTATAGACAGAGAGTGTAGAAAGCAGTTAAACCTAACTAATTCGAAATTTAAGTCAGCAAGTTTGCAAGGGCCTACCACGTGTGTGGCACTGTGCCACGGCCATTGGTGCTGTCTTTGGTGGTCGTCCATGGCAAAAGCATGACAGCACCTATCGTGCTGGCATTGACCCCTGCAGAGTTACTTCAAACCTCTGTGCCTTGGTTTCCTTATTTATTAATGGGAAGAATAATAGTGCCCACCTCACAAGCTTGTTGTGAAAAGTCCATGCTTAGAGGAAATGTGCTGTGATTGGAGAAATGCCCTCATGTAAAGGAAATGCTTTGTAAATATTAGCCACTATTACATACTTGAATCACTGAATGGAGTCGATGAATAATTATTTCAGTGTTAGCTGTTGCTGTCATCTGCATTTTGATTTTCAGATGTGGGCTTTGGAAATGAGAATCTGTGAAAATGAGAAGTTTAATAGTTTCAGTTTGGGATCTTTTACAATCCTTTAAAAATATTTTAAATTTTTTAGACTGTGAAAGTTGAGTTTTTGATTAATTGATATTTTAAAATGATAAATTAGGTACCCTTTAATTTATTGGCTTTTTTGTTTATGTGTCAATGGATGATTAAAGGAATTACTATTCTTTATTAAGCCAAAACCCAGAAATTTTAAACCTGTTGACTATGTGGAAAATTCCTTCAGAAAAAGTACTTTTTACTTGTCAAAATAGGTTTTTGAGCCGGGCGTGGTGGTGCCCGCCTGTAATCCCAGCACTCGGGAGGCTGAGGCAGGAGGATCGCTGTGAGTTTGAGACCAGCCTGAGCTACATAGTGAGTTCCAGGTCAGGCTCAGTACATAGTGAGACCCTGTCTCAAAAAAACCAAAAAAAAAAAAAAAAAGAAAAAAAGGTTTTTGAGGGCCAGGAATTTAGCTCAGTGGTTCCGCCACCTACCTTGCAAACACAAGGAAGTAAATTATTTTATGTAAGTCTTAAAAATATGCTCTTTACCTCCCTTGAATTTGGAAGAGATGAATGATTTGGAAAGGGCCTGATTACAGTGCTTGCCTATGTATGAAAAATGAGGGGGAAATGAGACATTTTTAATAATGTAGGTTATTTTGAGTTGCTCAAAGTGGTAACTTTATTAATCTTATAACAAATAGACTATTGCTAGACTCAAGTAAGAAAAGTTGTTAAATGAGATTTCAGTTTAGCTATTTTTAGACCGCTTTCTCAGTCATTTTTTAAATACTAGGAAACAAGCCAAAAATCTGGTTATAGTGCAGACTGTGGTACAGAGTCAGTATTCAACCTTAACATTTATGTTATTTGCCAAAAATGTGATCATCCTCATTAAGTAATTGGGAATATAATACATAATCTTTTTTCTATGAAAATTTAATACATGAATTGGTAAGCAGAGAGCACAGTACACCACTCATACTTCTAGAGAAACCTTTGGTCAGGAGCCTTTGTTGACTCTCATTTTTGTGTTCTTGCTTTTTGTTTGCAGTGATTTGGCCCTGCGGAATTGTTTCCTTACCTCTGACTTAAATGTGAAAGTGGGAGATTACGGAATCGGATTCAGCAGGTACAAGGTAAGCCAAAGGTTTAAACACTTACCTCCTTAAAATTATTTAATTTCAGTCCTGAAGTTGTACTATAGCTTCATTCTTGGAGGCTAAGGATCTTGGTCATGATGCCTCTCTGCAGTGGGGGTTGTTTGCTCATCTTAATGGTAGATTAGCTTCTAGTGCATGGTTTGTCTAATAAATTAGTGGCTGTGTGCCCTGAGGTTTTGTGACAGGTTTCCAAATGCTTTGTTTAAAAGGATTTGTACTCAATGTAAATAACGCAGTATGGTAGTACATAATCAATTTCAAAATGAACATATAGACAATAAATATATTACCTGTATAATAAAATAATATGTTGTGTAGAATTTCTCCACTATGTAGTCAATAAAATCGTGGCTCAAATTTAGTAAGTTTGGGATTTAGGTTTTTAACTTTGTCATATATATACACCTAAAAAAAGAGCAAATAAGTAGGTGAGATTTCACATGTGTGCGTGTGCGTGCGTGTTCCACCTGATGAAGGGACACAGTGAGATTGTGCAGCTCTGTGCCTCACATAAGCACCTGACCTTCATTTTCTAAGCAGTACAATAAGGATAATATCTGTTCTATCTTACTGAATGCTTATGAGGACCAAAGGGATGGTCTCTTCCAAATGTGTTATGTAAGTGCAAGTTGGCTGTTCATCTGTGTGGCAGCTTTAGTGTCTTGAGCACTTGCTATCCACCAGTCACTGTGAAGTAGTTGCTGGGTTATTGTTTAGTCCCCATTCCAGAGGAGGTGGGTTTGTGTGATCCTTGTTTTGTAGATAAGGAGAAAGGTCTCTCACCTCCATGGCCTGCCCAGAGTCACATCACTGATAACTGAGAGAATGAAGAATGAGTGTCCCTCTCTGTGTATTCAGTATGAGGACTGAACCTATAGCCTTTGAACTAAGCCACATCACCGGGCCCTCTTCCTTTTTTGTTTCAATTTAAATTTGAGACAGGGTCTTAATAAATGACCAGGTTACCCAGGCTGAGTTCTAACTTGTGATCCTCCCTCCTCAGCCTCCAGAGTGGTGGGATTACAGGCATGCATCCACACATTCCTGCCTGAGCTCTTGCACATCAGTGGCACACCCCTCCTTGGTGCAAAGGGCCTGGCATGTGCTAAAAGGCATCTTGCTGAGTCCACGTGATTGCACAGATGCAGCATACCTTCCTCTTCCAGGCAGGGTGACTGAGCATTTGTGCCTCAGAGACCAGCTCACCGCGCTCAGAAGGCCTCAGAGCAGTGTCTCACTCCCTTCTTCCACCCAGGAAGTCCTCTCTTCAGACCCACTTTATTTTCCTAATGTATTTTGAGCCTGAGTATTTTGTATTTTCTTAAAAAGACTTGGAATTAAGTCACTGAGCTCACAAAAAATGTAATTCTGCTGAACACTCTAATCTATGTGCTTTCTAACAATGCAGGAAGATTATATCGAGTCAGATGATAAAAAAATTTTCCCTCTGCGATGGACTGCACCAGAATTAGTAACCAGCTTCCAGGACAGACTACTGACTGCAGAGCAAACTAAATACAGTAATATCTGGTACGTATCTTTTTACTACTTTATTAAGTCTGTGTAGGAAGGGCAAGTCCTTCTCTGGGTATGAAAGTAGCTGTAAGATGTGGGAAGAAGAACGCCTGTGTGGTGTGGAAAGGCAGCTTATTGACACTGCAGCACAGTCATGGTCACCATGATACGATGAACTCTGAGTATTGCCTCTTTTGCCCATTTTTCTCCCTAAAAACAGAAACCACATCTTATTTTACATTCTGTACCTACCACAGGGTCTGGCATACAATGAGCATTTAGTACATGTTTATTCAAGTTCATGAAAAAACAAAAGAGGTTCAGCCTGGCTTACATGATAGGGGTCACTGTAGTGGATACCAGAAACAATGTCCAGATCTTTGACTAACGACTTTGGTCACAGTTTCTTTTTTTTTTAATTAATTGAGTTTATTGGTACATTTAACGTATACAGTACAGTTATGTTCATTATTTGGGATCTTGTACACCTTCACATGACAAGTCTTGGTTCTCATTTTTTTCCCCTTGTCTGTGCCCTCCCTTCACCCCCATTTACAAACACTTTATTTCCATTTTTTCATTTTGTCATATTTTTTTCTTTTCCCTTATTACCTTTCCCCTACCCTTCCTATTTTCCCTACACCTTTAAGCCCTTTTCTTCCTATTTCACATGGTCAATTATATCGTTAGGATCTTATGTACTATTATAGTTTGAAAAACTAACAGCCAACATCATATTAAATGGCCAAAAACTGAAAACCTTCACGTTAAAATCAGGAACAAGACAAGGATGCCCACTGTCACCACTCCTCTTCGATATAGTTCTGGAAACATTAGCCCTAGCAATTAGACAAGAGAAAGAAATTAAAGCAATAAAGATAGGAAAGGAAAAAGTTAAATTGTCATTATTTGCTGATGATATGATACTCTACATTGAAGACCCAAAAACTCTACCAAAAGACTTCTAGACTTAATTGATACTTTTAGCAGAGTAGCTGGATACAAGGTCAACACCCAAAAATCAATAGCCTTCTTGTATGCAAATAACAGAGTCACTGAGAGAGAAATTAGGGAAACAATTCCTTTCACAATAGCATCCACAGTTTCTTAATTGATAGCTACTTATATTTTTGGTGCTATTTTCCTCCTGAGTCTTTTTCTTTTCTCCTTTGGCTTTCTTTTGATTTGATTTCCTTTAACTCTTTTTTTTTCCTTAGTTTGGAGGCAAACCCTAGAAGCTACAGTGTGATTATACTTCACTTACTATAATCTAACAGTTGATTTCTTAAACCTCTTTAAAAAAAAACTTTAATTCAGTTTACTTGTACACCATATGTGCAGATACCCATGTAATTAATGATATTTTAATTTTTTTCTTTTACTCACCCCAGACTTTAAAACATCAATGTGCATATAAATTTATCCATATAACAAACCACTTTTTTTTTTTAATTTTTTAAAATCATTCTCAGACCTTCCCTTTAGGATTATTCTTTTGCTTAAAATGAGGGTCCTTCATTGGTAAGAGACTTCCTTTTTTTGTAGGTCTGAACATAGCTTTATTTTTTCCTCATTCTTGAAATGTATTTTTTACTTGATGACAGTTATTTTCTCTCAGCATACTGAAGAGATCATTCTGCTGTGTTCTGGCTTCCATTGTTGCTTTTGAGAAGTCAGCTGTAAGTCTGCCTAAGTTCTTTGAAGGTAATACGACTTTCTCTCTGGCTGGTTTTTTTCTGCTTTCAACATGCTGTGTATGTGTGTGAATTAACAGTTTTTCGCTCAGGATTTATTTGGCTTTCCACATCTATAGGTTGATGGTATTTATTAGTTCTGGAAAATATTTAGCTTTTATTGTTTAAATATTGCCTCTGCCCTATTTTATCCTTTTTCAGAAGTGAAATTAGACACAGAGCATGTCTCTTAATTATGTATTCTATCTCTTTGACTGTCTGTGCCATATTCTGAATAATTTTTCAGACTATACTCCAGCCACTAATTCTTTCTCTAAAATTCTTTTTTGGAGGCCCAGGGATTTAGCTCAGTGGTGCCACACCTGTTTTGTAAGTGCAACGTTCTGAGTTTGATCCCCAGTACAGGGGAGAGGGGGAATAAAATTCTCTCTTGACTGTATCTGTTCTTCTGTTGAATCATTAAATCTATTAACTTTTAAGGTTCGGGGAAGTGAGTATTTTGAGGGTTTGTTTCATTTTGTTTTGTTTTTTGCACTTGATCTTAACTAAAAGGCCAAGAAGCCTTTTTTTAAAAAAAATTATTGGTTTATAAAATTTGTTGCAGTTTTTAATAATTAGATTATTAATTAATAATTGCAGTAACTAAAGCCATGGTCCTTCTGGTTCTTGGTGGTGCCTCGTTTCTCCTGTTCTTCTCTATGGTGAAGATTCTTAGAGATCTAGAATGAGGCACCTTCCTCCAGAGAGGACTTGTGCTTGCTTCTGCTAGGTACCTGGGTGTACTGCTCTAAATAAAGGGCAGCCCTAGGCCAGGGCTATACATAGTCAGTGTTAGAGTTTTGGACCACTTGTGAGGTGAGTTTCACGTGCAAATCCAGGTCACTTCTTCGCACACACTCCCTTTCAGCGTGTATTTATTCTCTCCCCCCTCCTTATCTCTCCCTCCTTCTCTTCCTCAGTGCTATGGTTGCTTTGCCTTTTTTTTTTTTTTTGGTACTGGGAATAGAACTTGGGTCCCTATTTTGCAAGGCAGGTGGTAGAACCACTGAGCTAAATCTCCGGCTCTGCTTTGTCTTTTAAGGAGGTGCATTGTTCTTTCTGTGAGACCCCCTATCTTGGCAAGCCCACGCTTTGGTTCATGACTGTTAACCCTGCCTTAAACTGTGGAAGTGTTTCAGCAGAGGTGATTTAGTGTTCTTAGTTCTCTAAGCTCTAGATGATGTCCTGATTATTCCTTTGGGCTTACCCAGTGTTCCTTTCATCCCCATCCTCTACTCCAACCTCCAGTAGAGGAGATTGAACCCAGGGCCTTGGCACTAAGCTATATCCCCAGCTTTTTTTTTTAAGAAGGTCTTGCTAAGTTGCCCAGGCTGGTCTCAATCTTGGGATCCTCCTGCCTCAGCTCCCAGAGTGCTGTAATTACAGGTGTGGATCACCACACCACACCATCTTCTTAAGTTCCATCCCAAGTTCTGACTGTGCTTTAGGGGTGATCAGCTTGAAAACATAGCCCATGTTCTCTGAAATTGAGCAGCTCTTGCTCCTAGTTGGAACAGTCCTTGGTGGGATTGTTGGGTCCTGCCAAATGCAGAGGCCTCTCTGCTCATCCCAGGGGAACAAAAGGGACCTCATGCAGAGATCCTGGGTAGAGAGGGGAAAGACCTGTGGGATACTTTTTTGGTTTTCAGTATTTCATTTGAATTTCTTATTTTCTTTAGTTAAATTATAAACTCTTTAAAGTCATTAATGGTGTCTAAAATTTCTTTGGTATAAAAAAATCATCAAGCCAGGCATGGTGACACATGCCTGTAATCCCAGCAATCAGGAGTCTGAGACAGGAAGATTGCTGTGAGTTTGAGGCCAGCCTGGGCTACACAATGAACTGAAGGCCAGCCTGAACTACATTGTGAGACCCTGTCTCAAAAAAAAAGTTATCCATTGCTAACAGTTTTGTGTTGAGGAAGAGAAGCACTTACAGGATTGGATTGAGAGACTTAGATTGCTTTATTTCTTTTGACAGAAATCACCCCTCAACTTGAATATACTAATTTTTTTTACTAATTTATACAAATAAGACAATTTAAAGTTCTATTTTATGATGTCTGATAAACTGTTAAGTCAGTAGTTTGTTACCCAAATACACGTTCTAGATACATACTGATCAGAGCTACGTAAACCACCGATATCCGACCAGTTTCCTAGGCCACACCTGGTCTGCCAGCTCGAAATCCTTGGGGGTGGGTCACACTAAGTACACCATCATGTGTGTTTTAAGCTTCACAGATGACAAATAACTGCTCTGTTTGGGAACATCTCAGTAGGAGGATCTCAGCAAGACAGTATATATTGTGGAAAGGAAATGCAGAGACCCAGAAGGAAAGGAAAAGATACTGAATTTAGCATATTCAGTATCTAAGTTGAGGGATCATTTCTGTCAAAGGAAATAAAATAGTCTAAGTCTCTCAAGCCAATCCTGCAAATAAGAAGTCTTCCTCAACACAGAATTGTTAGCGGTAAATGATTTTTTTTTTTTTGTGACAAGGTCTCACTATGTAGTTGAGGCTGGCCTTCAGTTCACTATGTAGCCAGCTGAGCTGTTTCCAGCGGGGACAGAGAACTGGGTGTGAAAGCAAGAAGGGGTCTCACCTCAGTGACACAAACCTGAAGCCTCTTCTGGAACCAGATAGCAGCCATAAACCTAGGGTATTAAGGGATAACCAGAACAGGAGGGAGATGTGAGGGTCTAACAGGGAAAAGAATTTCTGCTTGCGTAAGAATTTCCTTAAGGTACTTTCTGGTGTTTGCAACTATCGTGAATGGCATTTTTTTCTACCTCAAAATTCAGAGTAGTAATCATGTCTCCAATCTTTTTGTTGAGGACTTTAAAACATGCTAATATCTTTCAGCTGGTTTCTTGAGCCTTTAAAGTTGACAAGCATATCCTTATAATGATGCTTGTTACCTCTGTTGGAAATTTATGAGTTGGCCAAGACATCTGGAGTATTATTTATAGTAAAGTGAGGGCACATTCTTGTCCTCCTCATTTTCATGAAAATGCCTTTTTCCCCCTATTATCTGTGATGTCAGTTATTGGTTTGAGAGATATTTTATATTGTTAATGATCTTATTAATAGAAATACACATCTTGTTCTTGAAATTACTGACACTGTACAAATAAAATGTATATGTTAAAAATGTGACATCTAAAGGAGGAGAGAAGTAATCATTTTCTGTTTTCACAGGTCTCTGGGTGTGACACTTTGGGAGCTTTTCAATAATGCTGCTCAGCCCTATGCAAACCTGTCCGACCTCAATGTCCTCAATCAAGTCATCAGGGAGAGAGACACAAAGCTCCCGAAGCCCCAGCTGGAGCAACCCTATTCCGATAGATGGTCAGTAGCCTCACATTCTGCTTTGTCGCTTTCAAAAAGCAAGTCATATTTCCTTGGTGTCAGTTCATATATTTCCTGTTTGTTTATTAAGTCCTGGGGATTTAACCCAGGGCCTTTGCACTGAGCTACATACCCAGACTTTTTTTATTTTTTATTTTGATAGGTTCTTACTAAGTTGCCGGGGCTAGGCTTAAACCTGCAGTCCTACCTCAGCCTACCACAGTGCTGGGATTACAGGCATGCACCATCACGCCCAGCTTGTTTCCTACTTTTAAACAGAAGGCCATATGAAAAGCAACCATTTTACATTATATGTGACTGATTTAAGCATGAATATCTTTTTAAATTTTAGTATTATTTTGTTTTGTTTTGGTACCAGGGATTGAACTTGGGACCTTGTGCTTTTGAGGCAGGTGGCAGAACCACTGAACTAAATCCCCAGCCTTTTAATATTATTTTCAAACAATGTTTACTACAAGTAGGAATTTGTATATTGTATGCAGTAAATTAAAGAATTGAACTGATTACAAAAGCCAGTTTTAGGGAGTCTTCTGTTGTGGAATTGTTTTAAAACAAAGCTTGTTATATAATCAGTGACTAATGTGTGAGAACTTGGTTAGCATAAAAATGATAGTGTTCACATTGGCAATGGGGATTAATTTGCATAGTGTATATTGACACTTGCAAAACAAATTTACTTTTTATGCAAGTCTTCGGATTTTTTTTAGATTCTGCTCAGCTCCCAAGTTGCTAGAGTTGTCTAGCCCAGAAACAACTCCACATATATAATCTGTAAATACAGTGCTGTGTCATTGTCTATATCTTTGCTTCTGTTTGTGGATACAGTTTAAGATTTTGGCCATAGTCACCCAGCCCTGCAGAGACTGTCTTGGTTTCTATTCTCATTGCAGAGAGAAAGTACCCAACACCCAAAGTTAAGGGAGGAAGGGTTTATTGTAGCTCTATAGTTTGTAGTGGTTTCAGTCCATAGTTTGCTGGCTCCAAAGCAGGATGGCATGGCTGAGGGACATTGCAGAGGAGAAACAGTCCATGGCAAAGCAGGCAGGAGGCAGCAAAGCAGCAATCAGCAGCAGCAGCAAGCCTCCCTTTCCTCTTTATCCCATCTAGCCTACAAGCCTTTGGGCTGGGGCCACCCATACCCAGGATGGGCTTTCCTTTATCCACACCCAGATCTATGCTAAACCAGTTTAATAATCACACATTCTTAATGTAGAATCACACACTGTAATCCAGCATCACCCCCATAATCCAGCCACCTCCAAAGAGCCGCAGCTATGAGCACCTGTGAGGCTTTGTGGGAACATCTAGGTACAATACATAATAGAGACCCAGCTCTTCCTTCAGCTCCTACCTGATCACAGGAGCCACATGCCATAGAGACTGCTGTTATTAGGGGAGTACACATCAGCTGCAAGAGCATTTGGCCATGTAAATTCTCAGAAAATAAAATGAGTAAATCAAGAAGTGTGAGATAGTTCAAGTGAAGAGAGCATGATAGACCTGTTTCTGAATTCAGTGACTGAGGTATCGCTTAATCACCAGAAGAACAAATAACCTAGCAAATGAACTGCAGCTGGCTGCCTCTAAATGTCCTGAAAACACAAAAAAATGAATGAGCCAAATATTACATTTCTTCATTTTTTATTTCTTGCACCATGATCTCCCCATCCCCATGAACTGAACTCCTTAATGTTGTTCGGCCGTGATTGAGGTACAGAAGCATTTAAGGGTATTGAATTGTCTTTCAGGGTCCTTGTAAAGTCTTTCGTTTTAAAACAGTTTATTATCATTCTGCTAATTGCCTCTCCTGTGCCGCCCAGGTATGAAGTTTTACAGTTCTGTTGGCTGTCACCAGACAAGCGGCCAGCAGCCGAGGACGTGCACAGACTGCTGACTTACCTACGGATGCAGAGCCAGCGGGACCCAGAAGTTGACTTTGAGCAACAGTGGAATGCTCTCAAGCCAAACACCAACAGCAGAGACACTTCAAGCAATGCCGCATTCCCAATCCTTGACCACTTTACGAGAGATCGGCTTGGTCGAGAAATGGAGGAAGTCCTCACAGTGACTGAAACAAGTCAGGGGCTGAGCTTCGAGTACGTATGGGAGGCTGCCAAGCATGATCATTTTGATGAGCGCAGCCGGGGCCACCCAGACGAAGACTTGTCCTACTCCAGCATCTTCTTTCCTGTTGAAGTGTTTGAGAGCTCCCTTTCAGATCCCGGGCCTGGGAAACAAGATGACAGTGGCCAGGAGGTGCCCCTTAGAGCCCCTGGAGTGGTTCCTGTGTTTGATGCTCATAACCTTTCTGTTGGAAGCGACTATTACATCCAATTAGAAGAAAAAAGCAGAAGCAACTTGGAGCTTGATTACCCACCCACGCTGCTCACCACGGAAATGACTAACCCAGAAAAGGCAGGAGCCGAGGTGTCCCAGTTCACAGCCCTTAGGAACCCGAACTTTGAGGAATCTAGTACAGATGAGGATTTCTTCCAAAGCAGTGCAGACCCTAAAGATTCTAGCTTAGCTGAGGACTTACATGTTGCCAGTGGCCCAGAGAGCCCTTTCAACAATATATTTAATAATCTTGAGAAAGCTGAGGATTTTCCCAGCCACCAAAAAATATTCACCTTAATGGAACTAAATGGAGTTCCAGCTGACTTGAAGCCAACCACTTTAGGTTCAAGTTTGGAGGACCACAGAGAGTCAGAAATAACTTGCCACTCTGACAGAGAAAAGCCCCATAAGCTTTTTGACCATGAGCCTTTTTGCTTATCAGAAAAGCTTTTGCATCAAGATCACTTAGATCCATTGAATGTTCAAGAATTGTCGGAAAACTTTTTATTTCTTCAAGAGAAAAATTTAATAAAAGGCTCACTATCTAGCAAACAGCTTATAAATGATCTTCACACAGAATTTAAGAATGCTGGTTTTACTGAAGCCCTATTGGAAACAGCACATAGAAACTCTCTAGACAATAAGCTTGAGTTTGCAGAAGATACACCCAGCTCTCTTTTGCCACAGGAAAACACAAGCACCAGGAGTGAAGATGCAGGTGTTACACTCACGGGTGCCATTCAGAGCGCCTCAGTACCATCTTCCCCAGGAATACAGGTACCTCCTACCTCTCTCACAGCAGAAGAAATGCCTCCTGGTGGCTCCTCAGACTCACTTCTGAGACCAGGAGAAAGCAAGCCCACGGGTTTGGATGTCAGTGTCCCTGAGGACTGTGCCTCCCAGGACCCTCACCCAGACTCTGTGACTGCCCCCACGGAAAGCCCCTCCACCAATGCCAAAACCCACAGCATGGACAGCGGGCCCCCTGACAGGACTCGCCAAAGCGGGGAGGCCTTAAGACCAACCAAAAGGGACAGTGCCCTCTTGGATGGTATTCTTGCTGGTCAGGCTAATACAGGGGATAGTCTTCCAGAATCCAGACAGGACTTAAGAAATCGGCCCTTTACAGAAGACCAGCATGGTGGCAGTTTGCAGGAGAACTTAGAAGCTGTGGAGACGTTAAATCAACTCAATTCTAAAGATGCCATCAAAGACATGGGCTTGGCTTCTGCCCTTTCCTCAGATTCCACCAGCCAGGACAGCCTCCTGGAAGACAGCTTGTCCACAGCCATCCCGAACTCTGAGCAATCTGTGGAGACCCCAGACTCTCTGGATTCTGTGGATGTCCATGAGGCATTACTGGAATCCTTAGGCTCCCACAGCCCTCAGAAACTCTTGCCCCCTGATAAGCCAGCAGACAGTGGCTACGAAACAGAGAACTTGGAGTCTCCCGAGTGGACTCTGCACCCTGCCACTGAAGGCACCTCAGATTCAGGCTCAGCTGCTGCTGGAGACCCTGGGCATAGCAGCTTGCCTCCCAACCCAGTCATCGTTGTCTCAGATGCAGGTGATAGCCACAGAGTTGCAGAAGGTGCCTCACAGACCTTTGCCCCAGGCTCACAGAGCTCATACAGAGACTCTGCATATTTCTCGGACAATGACTCAGAGCCGGATAAAAAGTCCGAGGAGGTCCCAGGGGCTTCCACCTTGACCTTGGTAGCAAAGGACCAGCCGCTGCCTGAGCCAGTCATCCTAGAGCAAAGCCCTGGTGCCAAAGACAGCTGCCTGGAAGCCCAAAAAAGCCAGCTAGATCAAAGTTGCCCACTTGTTCTGCAAATTCCCAATAACCTACAGTTAGGAGAAACATTGGAGCCAGTGCAAGCTGATGTTTCTCAGCAGATTCATCCTGTGGAAGATGAGGCTAGCAGCCCCTTAAGTTTGCTGATTGCGGAACTGAGCAGTGGTGATGACCTCGAGGCACAGGAGGAGCACTCCTGCACCCTCACCTCCACAGGAACCAACACTAATGAACTCCTTGCATACACAAATTCTTCTGTAGATAAGTCCTTCTCTGGGCACTCCGAGGGGCCTAAGCTGAAGGAGCCAGACATCGAAGGGAAATACCTGGGCAAGCTCGGGGTGTCTGGGATGCTCGACCTCTCTGAGGATGGGATGGATGCCGATGAGGAGGATGAAAACAGCGATGACTCCGACGAGGACCTGAGGGCTTTCAACCTACACAGTCTCAGCTCTGAGTCGGAAGATGATACTGAGCACCCGGTGCCGGTGATCCTCAGCAACGACGAGGACAGCCGGCACTTGCGGAGCCTGCTGAAGCCGGTGGCAGCAGCTGTAGCTGTGGATCAGCTGCCAGAGGACTGGAAGAAGGAAAAGAAGGCAGTCACTTTTTTCGACGATGTCACAGTCTACCTGTTTGACCAGGTATCTGTTGCTTTGAGGTTATCTGATATGCCTGTGTCTGTGTTGGAGTTTCACACTGTGTAAGGAAGTTGAGTATGGTGTTTTTTAATTGCCATTTTGAGAGAAGATAGTGATTATACAAAGTAACTTGGGTTGGTTACATTTCCAAAATTAGGCAGAAATGTACAGTGGACACTTGACTTAACAACTTAATTCGTTCCCAAGGGCTGGTTGTAACCCACGTTGGTCAGTGAAGGCTCAGGCTCCTCTATACAGCCTTCAAAGTCTCTCTCCTATGCACAGGCAGATCTCAGTGTCCTTAGAGAGACATTGACCAAGGATTTCTCAGTTAACCCCACACAGGAAAGGATGTTGTAATATTCTTTCCAGAACTTATTAAGCTTAAATCAGACCATCTGGAAGTACAAGCTGCTGGCATTTAGGTCGTAAATCAAGACTTTGTAAGTTAAAACTAAAAATTCCAGTCATAACCCAAGTTGTTTGTATGTCAGGCCAGTCTCTTGAGGGCCCACTGTAATTTGTAGTTCTTACAGGGAATTCACATTAAATTAAGGGCAGGAAGGCCAAGGATTTAGCTCAGTGGCATTGTGCCTGCCTGGCAAGTGCAAGGTCCTGAGTTCAATTCCTGATACTAAAAATATATATATGGCAGGAAACTTGGCTGGTTTTTCTGAATCTCTTTTTCTCGCTGGGAGGGGACTGTACTAGGGATTGAACCTAGGGCCTTCACACTGAGCTACCTAGCCCTTGTTTTTAATCTTTTATTTTTTTGTTTGTTTGTTTGTTTTGAGACAGGGTCTCACTATGTAGTTGAGACTGCCCTGGAACCCATTATGTAACCCAGGCTGGTCTTGAACTCACAGCGATCCTCCTGCCTCAGCCTCTCGAGTGCTGGGATTACAGTCATGCGCCAGGACGCCCGGTTTAATCTTTTGTTTTGAAACAGGGTCTGAGTTGCCCTTGGATTTGTGAATCTCCTTGAACATGGGCTTGTCTCAGCTTCCAGAGTAGCTGAGATTATAGGCATGTGCCACTATGCCCAGCTGTTTTTGTCTTCCTGTTGCACATTGCTTTATACTCTTTTTGTTTCCATGTGCCTTGTTTCTAAGAAAAATCCTTAAACCTCCACATTTGAATATAACACGTGTTGGGGGCGGGGGGTTAGACTAGGAGAAGCAGCTTCCTGTGCTCAGCAGATCCAAATCTGTGGGGCCCAGAGGCTGCCTGGTCCTGTGTAAAAAGCCACCCCCACCCATGCTTCTCACCTCATCTGCCAAGCCGCTTTCCACCTGAGTTTTTCTTATAGTTGTTTGTTTGTTTGTTTTTCTTTTTAGCACTGCCTTTGGTTTTGATATCAGGATAATGCTGGCCTCATAAAATGAATTGGGAAGTGCTGCTTCTTATAGTTTCAGGAAGAAATGATTTAGATTTGCAGATCTCTCCAAATAATTGCTTTTGTTTTTGTGGGGTTTGTTTTTGTTTTGTTTTGTTTTTCAATTTCATTGGTTTCTGCTTTATTTTTATTATTTTCTCCCTTCTTATTTTGGATTTATTTTGCTTTTCTTTTTCTAGATTCTTAAGGTAAAAGCTTGGGATTTGAGACCTTTTTTCTTTTCTAATGCTAGCGTTTAATTCTATAAATTTCCCTCTGTACTATCTTGGCATTTCACACATCTTAATATATTGTATTTTCCTTTTCATCCAGCTCAAAGTATTTCCTAGTTTTGCTTAAGCTTGCTCTTTGATGGATTATTTCTAAGTCTGTTGTTTCATATGCAAGATTTGGGGATTTTCTTATATCTTTTTGTTATTGATTTCTAGTCTGATTCCATTATGGTTAGAGAATATATTTTGTGTGGTTTCAGTTTTTTCAGATGTGTTAAGGTTTATTTTAGAGCCAGTATAGTCTATCTTGATGGATGTCCTGTATGCACAAGAAAGTTTATATTTTCCTGCGGGGGGATAGATTATTGTTCTATAAATGTCCAATTACATCATTGGGAGCATTGCTCAGTTCTTCACTGTTGCTGCTGATGATTCTGTCTGTATCTGTTGCTGGGAGTGGAAAGTTGAAGTCTTCAGCTGCAATTGTAGAGTTGTCTGTTTCCCTTTTCATTTTTGCTATGTGTGTTTTGTAGCACCATGAGATCCAAGTACATTTAGGACAATGGTCTTGGTGAATGGATCTCTTTATCATTATGTAACATCCTTTATTTCTGTTTCTGATGTTCATGTGGCTGCTGTAGCTTGTGATTAGTATTTGTGTGGCGTATCTTTTTTTCATGTTTATACTTTTAATCTACCTCTGTTATATTTGACACGAGTTATATAGTTCGGTTTTTATTTAATTTAATTTTTAATTGTGCATATTTAGGGGGTACCATGTGATGTATTATTGCATGTATACATTGTATGTTTAAATCAAGATGAACATTTATCTCAAACATTTATCATTTCTTGATGGTGAACCATTCAAGACCATCTTTTCTAGCTTTTAGAAATATACAGTATCTGTGGTTGCCCTGCTATGCAATAGAGCTTTTACTCTTACCTACCTACCTATAACTTAGTGCTCATTGGTAAGCCTTTCCTTCTGTCCCTCCACCCACTGAGAGAGCTCAGGAAGGGTTGTTTATAAAATATTTTCTGGAAATGTTTAGACTGTTTACATTTCATGAAATTATTCATATGCTTGAATTTAGGTGCAACATTTTCTCTTCTGGTTCCTCCTGTCTCCTTCATTTGAGTAACTGAAAATTGTTAGTATTACATTTTAATTTATCCACTGTGAGTTTACTGTGTGTCTTCTCTGTGTTACAGTTCTGGTAGAGGTTGTTCTAGGGATTTCATTATACTCACTGTCTGCTTGGTATCAATATTTCACCACCTCAGATGGAAGGGGGAGACCTGGCTACCCCACAGGTCTCAGGTCCTCCCTTCCCCCACTTGATGGTATGACATACAGACCCATTGGAAACCCTTCAGATGGTGCAATGAGTTCTACTTTCAGTCATCAAACATTTTATGAAACTCAAGAGGAGAGAAATAGTTTTATATTTACCCAAATGTTACCACTTTTATTGTTCTTCTTCATCATTGTTCTAGGTTTACATCTGCTGACCTTCTAACTGAGAAGTTTGTTTAGCTTCTCCTCTTTTTTGAATTTATTTTTTTCCCTCCAACTCTACTGGCAACAAGTTCTGAGTTTTTCTCCCTCTCACACTTACTCCGCAAGAATATTTTCTCTAGATACAGAGTTCTGTGTTAACAGAACTTTCTTTCAGCAAAGAGATCACTTCTACCTGGGTTACAGTAGAGTACACTGGTATCTCAGTTCACAAATGCTTTTGTTGGCAAAGTCCGCACTGGGTAACAGACACAGCTGCAGCCATCTTCCCTGCATGAACACAGACATGGCTATCTTTTTCAGAATTGGGGAACAAATCAAGTTCGTGAGTTGAGGTACTACTACTCACCTACCTGGGCTCCGTCCCCATCAGAACTCTCTCCAAAAAAGCATTGCTTCTCCTGGCCTTCATAGCTTCTCAGAAGAGATTTGCAGTCGCTGAGATTGTTAACCCCCACCTTTTTCATTTTCTTTTTTTGGGGGGTGGTTTTGGAGACAGGGTCTCACTATGTAGTTGAGACTGACCTGGAACTCACAATGTAGCCCAGGCTGGTCTCGAACTCACAGCAATCCTCCTGCCTCAGCCTCCTGAGTGCGGGGATTACAGGCATGCGCCACCACACCCAGCTTTACCCCCTTTAATAGTGTCTGTTCTCTACAGCTGCTGTCAAGATGTTTCCTTCATCTTCAGTGCTCGGTAGTTTTAACTACAAGGCACCTGGGCCTGGGTTTCTTCACTCTTACTCCCTTTCAAGTTTGTTGAGCTTCCTGAGTCTATAGTTTTGTATCTTGCACCAGCTTGAGAAGTTTTTAGCCGTTACTTGTTCCATCTACTTTTTCTGCACATCACTCTCCTCTCTGCCTGGGCCCCAGCATTAGACTTTTGGGGTCTTTCTGCAGGTCCCAAGACTCTGTTCTTTTTATTCCTACAGTTTTTTTTTCCTTCCTGTTGGCTGGATTCGGTTATTTCTATTTCTTTTCTTTGTCCGCCTAACTGGAGCTGGAACCCAGGGCTTTGTGCATGCTAGGCAAGTGCTCTACCACTGAGCCACATCCCCAACCCTGTTTTTAAGAAATCTTATTTTGAGATGTGGTCTTGCTAAATGCCCAGGCTGGCCCGGAACTTGTGATACTCCCACCTCAGCTTCCCAAATAGTTGGAATTACAAGTGTGTACCACTTTCTGGCTTATCTGTCTTTTTGCTGAGACTTGCTGTGTATTTCCATTCATTTTGAGAGCGCTTGCTCTTACTTGATGGAGTTCTTGTTTGCTTTTCTTTTTGTGAGGGTGTGTGTGTGTGTGTGCATGCATGCACACACGTGTCCTTGGGGGGAAGGTTTGTTGTTTTTGTTATTGTTGTTTTAACTGTGGTATTTTTTGGTGCTGGGGATTGAATACACGGTGTCTGTCACGCATGGGAAGTAAGCATCCCGCCCCTGAGTTACACTTCCAGCCTCAGCACTTTTTAATGTCTTTTTCAGGACCTGTGCCCTGTTGACACTGGCTGGCATGTGTTAATTGCTGTTGCCCCTGTGAATTGGATTTTGCCCAGTTCTTTGGCTGCTGGGTGATTTTCGATTTTGTGCCATGTGGTGTCATGAGGATTATTCTGTCTTGTTGAGCTCTGTGGAGAATGTTGATACTTCTGTCTTCACAGCCCTTCCCCCATCTGGGTTCAGGCCACGGCCCCACTCGCCCCCACTCGCCCCCTGTGGGTGTGGTTTCAGTACTTGTTCCCCTTTCGAAGCTTTTGCTGTAGTGGATGCCACCTGGGGCCAGGCCAGAACATGGTGTCATGTGTCAGCCTCCCACCCACCCCCAGTTCAGCCCTCAAAGCTTTACATATTGTTTGGAGTGTGCTCAGGTAGGCCCAGGAGACCCCCAGCCACTTTCTGGGGTCACTTTTCTGAGCTCTGTGATCCTCCCCGGCTGGGGCCTTACACCGCTGTGTGGCCCAGCAGGGAAGGACAGAGGAAGACAGCAGAAATCGGCAGCAGTCCTCTCACTCTTCCAGATCACCATCCACCAGCGCAGAGCAGCCTTCGGCCCTCGCAGAGTCACAGGCTCCCGTCACTCCAGGGTTGTGTAGGCTCGGTGGTAGCAGAACAGGAAGAGGTAGAGGGAAAAACTTAGCATTCCTTCTCTGGACATCAGAAGCCTCCTTCCTTTTCTGGAACCAGAACCAAAGGCAACAGCTCTGTCCACACCAGGACCCCTTGGACTTTCAGGCCGAGCTGATCCACGCAAAGGACAAGAGAGGGTAACGAGAAGAAGTGCTGGTTTGGTGGCACTTTGACCTCAGATTCATCCCCATCTGCCTCTGAGCTGCTTCAGTGTTCCGCCCACTTGTTGGGCTGAGTTCATAGGGAGAGGCAGGCCACCCGTTGGTCCCTCCCTACCAGAGATGAAACCGACCTCGCTTTAAACCACAAAGCACCTGCCAGCTGGGCTGTGGCACACTGGGTGGCTCCCAGGTGCAGGCTAATGGGCACTTCTGCTTGGCTTTTCAGGAGACCCCAACCAAAGAGCTGGGGCACTGTGGAGGAGAAGCACACCGCTCCGAGCCCAGCAGCCCAGCACCAGCGTCAGGCTCACTCTACCTGAGCAAGTGCATAAACTCTGAGAGCTCCACAGATGAAGAAGGTATTTCACTTCACTCACTAGTGTTCAGCACAAACAGAAAACAGAGCACTGGGTCATGTAGACACTTTGGCAAGAGCATGAGGCTTATTACTTTGAATAACCACCTCGAGACATCTGGGGCACAGGGGCCATCTGGCAGCAGGGCCAGGGTTGGCTCACATACCCAAGACACCTGTGCTTCTGGGCTCCTGCTCTTCATTGCACAGTGATAACGGGAGGATTATTATTATTTTTTTTTCCAGGTGGAGGCTTTGAATGGGATGATGACTTCTCCCCAGATCCTTTCATGTCGAAGACAACTAGCAACCTTCTGGGTTCCAAGCCTTCCCCTCAGCCATCCAAGTACTTCTCCCCGCCCCCGCCAGCCAGGAGCACAGAGCAGAGCTGGCCACATGTGTCACCCTGCTCCAGGTTCTCCATCTCTCCTGCCAACATCGCCAGCTTCTCTCTTACACACCTCACTGACTCGGACATCGAGCAAGGAGGTAAGAAGCACCCTGCGTGGGCCGACATGGGCAGGAGGCCTCAGGAATCAGGTTCTGGCTTGGTGGTGTACCCCCGTGGACTTGAGGGCCTGTTAATCTGGTGATTCTGGGTTTTTTTTCTGAGTACATTTTAAATTTCTTTTTACAGCCAGGTGTGATGGTGCACACCTTTAACCCTAGCACTCTGGGAGGATTGCAAGTTTGAGCTCAGCCTGGCCAACTCGGCAACGAAGCAACTTAGCAAGACCCTGTCATAGCACAGCATAGCATAGAGTTGCATAGGAAAAATGACCAGGGATGTAGCTCAGTTTGAAGGCCCTGGGTTTAATCCCTAGTACTGTAAGTGAATGAATAAATTCTTTTCCATAAAACTCCTACAATCCTGAATCTTGATAATAGATTGGGACCACACCCCCTGCTTTTAGTAACACTTGGAAACTGATTCCTGCTTACCCCTGCTGGGCCTGGGTGCCCTGGCTGTGGAACACCAATCTCTTCCTTTTGTTTCTCTGGCTGCTGCCCTGCTCTGCAGTCTTCCCTTTTTCCCCAAAGCCGGCACGGGCTCCTCTGAACACTCAGCAGAGGCTTTGGAGTTGAGCCTGGGTGCTCTGGCTTTTTCCCTAGGAATGTTGATTTAGCCATTAAGTCCCGGTCTCTGCGTGATACCAGAGGGCCAGGCGGGAATGCTCGGGCACGGGCACGTTTGAAGCGGCAGGATCTGAACATATGGGTCATTTTCCCCGTACCTAGATGGGAAGATAAATGTTAATAAATAGGTGCATTTTTCTATTTGACGTTTACAGATCAAATAATAAATGTGAACCATAAAGAGCTTTTATTTGTGTTTGCACGGCTTCACTAGTGCCGAGGAGATAATGCTTGCACCTGAGGACCTGCCCTGCATGTGTGTGCGCCTGCCTGCCTGTGTGCCTGCACGCCTGCCTGCCTGCATCTTGGGCTGCTTTCCTTCCTTGCCCCAAGTGTGGGCGCTGAGCCGCCGCCAAGCAGCTGGGTGCCCAGAGTCATCAGACACTATTCTAAAGAGAAACGAGGCAACTTGGCAGATGTGAGGCAGCCAGACCCAAGTTGCAGGTCCTTTTCCTGCCCCACTGGTCAGGTTCTCTCCTGATTTATCATCTGGGACGATCATTTCTGAAACCTACTTTGTTGCATTGCTTTCTCTCCCAAATAGGCAGCAGTGAAGATGGAGAAAAGGACTAGGTGGCCACAAACAGTCTCCAGGCCCAAGTGGTGTTCCCACCCATCAGCCCAAGCAGCAACAGCAGCTGAGCGAGACTGGAGGACTCTGCAGGACTCTGAAGGAGGTGAGGGTGTGTGGTCTCCCACAGCTGCACCGCCCATTGTCCACAGCTGCACACCCTCTGTCCTCACACTTGAAGTAAAGTGCTCACACGCTGGTCGCTCTGCATCCATATGGGGAACTGTGTGTGCCCGTGTGTGTCTGTTTTCTGTGCTGCTGTCCTTTGTGTCCACACCTGTGCTTCCAGGTCTGGGCACAGGTGCCACGGAGGATGCACCAGGGTAATGGTCATGAGTGAGCCATATTTATTGTTTTAAAAGAAATCACTAACTGCTCTCTGTAATTGCACTGTGGTTAAGTGTTCTAAGAGTCCCCAGTATTGTACAGAATCGTAAATTATTCAATGAAAATACAGAAGGTCAAGCTGGTGCTAACCACTAGTTTGATTGTTTGTTTGTTTGTTTGTTTTTTCCAGTTTGATAGTTTGCCCTGCATGGTACTTGTAAAGCTTAAATATTTTGAGTGATAATGCTGTCTTAAGAATTGTTGGAGCTGTATATGTGGTACCCTTTCATACATGATACAGATTCTGAATGTTAGTGTTTTATGTTCTTATAGGAAATATTTTTGATGAGTCCAAAAATACTGCTCTGTTACTTAAAATGATTAAATCAAACACACTTTGTCTCTTCCCTAGAAGGTGGTTTTCCTGTGGCAGATGCAACTTTTCTGGGCTGACAAAGGGTCTTGCAGCCTCCCCATGAGGTTCCCCCACTGCCTTGATGTTTTAAACCCTTTTGGTAAAGGTGACAGGTGCACCCCACACTCAGCTCTGGCTGCAGTCTAGGACCACAGTGTGGTGTGGCAGGATCATGCGAGGCCAGGCCATGTGAGTCCTGCTGAGTCCTTCCTTTGAAAAGGGGAGGACCTCCGAGGTATGCATTTCCCTATGAGGAGCTCTGGCTACCAAGGGTGATTTGTCTACTGCAGGTAGTGTTGATTTGAGCTCTTAAAACATTTCCAGAGCTGGACTTTCAGCTCAGAGCCACTCCAAGTCTGGCCAGAGGTGGCGAGTCTCTGCAACCCAAGACAGTGCATTCTGCAGCCGTGCAGAAGGGACAAAGGACCACAACAGAACCCCAGCATCTGGCACATCCTCCTGATTGGTTTCACAGTCTCAACAGCCCCAGAGCCCGGCTGCCTAGCCCTTCCCTGTGCTATAGGAACCAAGTCCTCCTCTTGACTTGAAAGGAACTGAGTGTCTTCAGTGCGACTTCGTCAGAATCCATTTTCCCTCACCCAAAGATGACCTCATTGTCCCAGCCTGGAGTTCTGCTTGGACATCAGGAAGTCTTCCAGGGCTGTGCTGTGTGGCAGCACGTTCCTTCTGGACAGTACCCCATACCAGCCCTTCACCCCAGCTGTTTCCCGGTACTGATCCACTTCCCAGACTCCAGTGTGACATTAGGATGACTCCAAGCCCTTGTCAGCAGGAGGGCTTGGGTCCCCAGTACAGACTGCAAAGGTAGACATTGGCTAGAGTTTACATAGTAAATTGTGAATTGTGACCTTTCTTACCGGTTCTAAGTCACTCCATGAATTATTTTATACTAAGCAATAATTTTCCAAAGCAAGAAAATTCTGAGTGGAGTTGCTCTCATCCCCCACTTGATGTGAACAGAGTGCATGCCAGGACTCTTCAGGGAGCTCTGGCTCTTGTGACACCTGTATTAAAAACAGGGCATTTGAAGGGGATTTTGCCAAAACTGTCATAACTCTGAATTTCTTACCATGGAGACTTCCTGAGTTTTCTGAATTTTTTACCTCTACCTACTAGGCTTAGTTGATTGAGAGAGAAATGAGATTGAGAGAGAAATTTAAATGATTATTTAAATTATAGGTCAAAGGAGTTCAGATTTAATGACTAAAATCAAGCAGATTCATAGAATATATGGCCTTCTTATACAGTAAGCCCAGGATGTTTATTGATATTTCAGGGCTATACATTTTCACTACATTAAGATTTTAACAATGTAAGTCCCATTTTTAATTTTTATATCACTCATAATTTATTGCCAAAAAAGCATTTTGTACATGGGCGGGGTGGGTCATACTGTGGTATTGCATGGAACGGGAGACTATTTCTCATCAACATGTGAGTCAACATGTTCTTTTGGAATCTCAAGCAATATAAAAATTTAAATGGATTAAAACTTCAGCCCATTTTTGAAATGTCAGCACGTGCTTTGTTGTGTAATTGTTTTTTGTTTTTTTTACAGATAAATCTTATCAGTGGTAGGTTTTCAAACATATTTGTTCTAATAAGTTATGCAGTGAAGTAAATCAGTGGCATTCTCTAGATGATGTGGGAAGGTTGCTCATACCTAGTTGGCAGAGTGTGTGAATTTTAGATCCTACAGTACCAGTAATCTACCCTTCACTTCCCTCCTAGCTGATCCTGATTTGTGTTATTAGCCGAACCTGTCATAAGACAGAAAGAGAAATGTGGAGAAAGTGCTCCCAGCTCCTCCAAGACTCCACACCTGGGTCAGAAGCTGTTCGTTTTCAGTGTGAAAGAAGCAAACTTATCTATGCTGAATTGACAGCAGAGTATCCATTCTATTTTTAAATGTTCAGGCCCCACTGTTTCTATAGAGATGGCTTTACCTAAGAAAAGTCCTTGTATGTCTTGCTGCCATAAAAGGCCTCTTAAGCCTCCTTCCTTTTATTCATATTTCCAAGAGGGTATTTGTAGAGTTAATGAGCTATTACATGTCTGTCTCCAGGACCAGGCAGAAGGGAGGCAGCTCCATATTTTCCTGAAAATTCAGATGTCGTCTTAGAAGTTTTGAGCTTTGGAGCACTGGCCTTGGGAGAAGTAGTTTTAACATAAGAATGGGTGTACACACTGGCTTCAGACTTAAATCTCATGACAATATTCCTGAGTACTAACGGTTGGCTTTAGTCCTGGCTGTTGAGAAGAAAGACTCTTAACATAGAAGTCAGTTCTTAGAGAGAGATGTGTTGGCAGTATTGCACACCAGAGACCTGTTCGGCCTGCTGAAAAGGCCTGAATGGGGGCTGCGTGTTATAGCGGGGTCCTGAGGAGGGGACCTTGCATCATGTGCCCACTGTTCCTTCTCGTCTGCAGACAGACCTGGGGGTAGTTACCTACCATGTCTCACCTTCCAGGTTGTACTACCCACAGTCGGAAAGAAGTTCACAGCAATGTAACAGTTAATGAACTTTCAGTTTAAATTGTGTACATTTTTAAATTGTAAGATTTTTACTGTATATTGATGCATAGTGTGATTCAATAAATTGCTTGTAATTTAAAAACTATTTAATATTCAAAATAAATATAGTTATATATTTATAAACTGTTGCTGTGTTGAGTCTGTGTTCTTTCCATCATGCTGGATGCGGGGTGGCATGGTGTTGCCCTACCCTGCCCTGCCTACCCATGTTTCCTTGGTCTCTAAATCTCCCAGGATCCTGAGAACTTGAGTGTTTCATCACTGGAAGACTGAAGGGTTTTTTTTAGGTCAGGAGTGGTGGGCAGAACACTGGGATTGAACCCAGCCCTTTTTAAATTTTAGTTTGAGACAGGATCCTGCTGTATTTCCCAGGCTGGCCTTGAATTTGGAATCGCCTCCATCTAGGGTGCTGGGATTTTAGGTGTGTGCTGTAAAATAAGTTTTACATAGCATTTGTGCTGCCTTGAAGTGTATCTGCAATCCATAGCTTTTGCACCTGCTGAAGAATTTAGAAGCATTTAATTTCTAAGGTCTTCACTAGCCCAGTTTGGATAGCTCCCAGCTGTATACTGAGTTCAAGGCCAGCCTAAACCATATAAGGAGACCCTGTCACAAAATCACCCCCGCCAAAAAATTCCCTAGTGACATACAGAGACCTAAGGCAGGGGGCAGAGAATAGGTGGGCAGCAGAGTGTTTGTGGTTTTCAGTTTTTCTGGGGAGGTTTGGTGGGGCTGGGGTTTTTTGGTTTTGTTTTTCTGTTCTTGAGGTACCGAGTATTGAACTCAGGACCTTGCGCTTACAAGGCAGGCGTGGTGCCACTGAGCTAAATTCCCGGCCCGGGATTGTGGGTTTTCAACCCAAGTTGTCTGCCTCCTGCCACTAGAGACCAAACCCCAGGGACAACCAAGCTTTCCTGCTGACCAGGGGACGTACAGTCCGCAGGAGCTCCGCCTAGCGTCTGGGGGATGGGAAAAAAGACCCGCGTCCCAAACCCCTTGGGCTGCAGGGTCCTCAGCAACATCCGGATGCTCTTGGGGGAGAGGGGGAATGGATCGGCTCTACTGCGCTGCGAGGATGTGGCGCTCCCTATTCGCGGCTTGTATGATTACACAAGCGCTGCTCCACGGCTCAGCCTTAGCCAGGTGCGGCAGTCAGGTGTAACCCCACAACTTGGCCCCAGAAACCCTGAGGTCCCCAGCTGCAGAACGGGTCCCCCCCCCTCCCACTCGGCACCCCGCACTTCT